GTGTGTGTGTGTGTGTGTGTGTGTGTGATATTTTATAGTGTTAGCCCCCTGAGATACCATGCTGAAGTTTAACACGGATACCCATTGAAGACACAGGATACTGTCTCCAAACTGTTCAGTCCTTGTTTCAACCTTTAATGCCGATCGCCAGCCAAGGTAAAAACAAGTACCATCTTTTGACGGCTTTTGGTATGAAGAGCCAAGGGGCTCGAACTTTCGACCTTCTGTTTCACGGGGATACACACAAGCATAACAGAATGGTACCAGGGGTGCAGCAATTAAAAGTTATTATCATGATTTATCGTATACACGTGACATGATACTTTAGAGTGGAAGTGTACACACAAAAATAACTTTTTATCTAAAATCAACTCTCAGGAGAAACAATAATATGCAATTTTAGAATTAATTATCATCAATGTTTGAAAATATAAAAGTCAGTCATTTTCTCACATCAGGAAGCTTAAACAACGTGTGAAATGATTAGGTCTTCGTCTTGCACACGAAACAGGCCAGAGTTATCAAACCTTCCTTTAGACTATGAAGTAATAGTTTAACTGGCCCCAAGTTTAGTTTCAGAGCCCAAGATATCCAGTACCAGTTTATGGTAAGACAACATGGTTTCCGATTCAGGTTAATCGTCCCAATATTCTAAATTGTCACAGTAATCGATAGCTATATATGTCTATGAAAAGAAATTTAAATCCAAAATTAAAAGTAACTGTCATATTTTAAACATTCACGCCAGAATATTACTTCTACATCAAAGTTACTGACATGAGCAGCATACTTCCATGACCAACTGATCACCAAGCTTCGATATAATCAAGTTCTGTTGTTAGTGTTTCTTTACTTTTGAGACGCTCCCTAAAGACGATAAAGACTTCCGGTCATGCACGTGAGACACATGCACAGACCGCCCCAACTCTGTCATATGTAGAAGTGCGCATAAAGATTCAGAGTGACAAAACACTCTCCACAAGTCTTGTATGACAAGAGGGATGAATTCAACTTTCCAATAGTCATTTTACCCTTTATGTCGAGCAATATTCCAGCAGCTCCAGCCTTTGCTGTTGACATTTGAGATACTTTTGAGATACAATCGAGCGTGCTCTTTTTACCAAGATTTCAATGTGGAGGGCATTTTCAAATTTGAGGCATCAGTGACCAAAATGATGTCCGATGCAATTCTCTATTTGGACTTGTACCATATGTTCCCGTGTTTTTTTTCAGGAGAACAGTTGACTTGCCTTTGTATGTATTTGTGACGGGTGACCCAGGTGGGGCAGGATACGCTCACCTTTTCGTACACCTGATATCATTACTGTTTGATAGTCATTCACAAACACATGCTCATGATATAGTCGGAATTGTACAATCGATTTCTTGTGAATATGGAAAGGGGCATTTAATGATCAACTACATGTTTTTTTTAATGGTTTTTCATCTTCATCCTACTGGTGAAGCTAAATGTGTAATACATGATCTGTTCAAGCACTATGCATTTAGCTCGCCAGGACTCGCTAAATACAATGTTTATTCCAAATACAGGATATTTACCATCCATTTCTATTGGATATGGAAAGAGCATTGTCGCTTTAATCGCATGACCTGTCAGACATTCCATCAGTTGCTACTACACCCTGAGTGTTGTCATCAAAACATCTCGGAATTTTAATGAAAGTTACATACGTACCTTTTTTCCCAAGTGTTGAAGAAAGTATAAAAATGGTTTCTGTTAAGGCACAGGCAAACATTTCGATATGTGTACATATGATAAAAGGTAACACTCGCGAAACAGCAAGTGTCAAAATGCGCAACGCGAATGTCGCACAAGGGATCGTTCTAACCATCATAGTAGTTCTTACAGCCAACTTCACAGAGTCATTTGTACAGCGAGGCACAGAACAGAGAACTTTTAATTTCTGGCACTTTCAATCTGCCACACACCATCATTTTCCATGGTATTCATCGTGATTGATCTGTATTCAGCTTTGACTATTTGTAGAAACATGGATGCTAGGTTGTTAGGGTCATCCGGTCAGTGGATTAAACATGGTTTTAGACGAAAACAGTGTAAGCACAGATCAGGACATAACACCAAGTTATGGTATTTTGAGTGTGGTGTTTTAAGTTGTTGCCATCTTCCCAAGGCAAGGGAGTTGACTGACTAAAAAAGTCCAGTTTCCACCCTTGCCGAACTAGGCTCGTATTATTGAGTTACATTTTGGCTGGACTAACGAGTCTATGCATAGTCCAATCAAAATCGTGCATCGAAATCGAAATCCGGTTCGTAAACTGTCGTGCAGATTTCGGTCGATTGCAGGATTTGCAAAACATGTGCACCGCCAGCTCGTTGTCAACAGATATTTTCCAAATCTTTTCATGTTATAAATCAAGATGCTCACGCATTTCGCGATGTAAGACCCGTTTTATGACAACATAGACCTTAATTATCGATCAGTTCGTCTTGACTGGGCGCCACTGTTTTGTTTCAAGCAAATGCAAGTGATACGAAATGTGGAATCTGATTGGTCTAAACGGGAGGCTCAGAAGGGACATAATTCGTATTAGCCACTGGTGGCGCTACGATAGAGCCAAGGAACTCCAGCCTAGTTCGGCAAGGGTGGAAACTGGACTTTTAAAGTCAGTTAACTCTCTTGCCTCGGGAAGATGGTTGTTGCAGGCAGAATATTAAACACCTGCAAATTTCAACTTTGAGTGAAAGCTTAAGTTAACTCAGGCAAATAAACCAGTGTGGGGCAATCCTCAGGGCGTTTCACAAATCTGCTTCATGTGCCCAGTCATATCACAGCGTGTCGCTCGACTTTCAAGCAAAGGATTATTATCAGGGCGAATGTTGTATTCGAATCCACGAATAGTTTCCTGGCATTCAGTACCCGACGCAAGTTTGCCTTCGACGACTCACCCGACCGTGACCCCACTTACAGCACAGGTGAGCTTCGTGATTACAAAAGTTAGTTTGTTCAGATTTGTGTTTACTGCTGATGTGCTGACTCGACATAAATGCACAACCGAATGGCAACTAAAGCAAACATATATTTAAAAAGTAATCTCACGATCAGTCATCTTTAATCAACAAAATAACATTCATATTTACAAGACATAATGAACACCATGGAAGGAAGGTATTTCATTTGCAATTAAAAAGATTGGTTTATCCAAGAAAAGGTGTATCTTGTAAGCATTATTTCACATTTAACTATTTTTGAAACATTTTATAGCAAAAACTGCAACGTGTGAATATATATTAGTGGTAACGGTATATACTTTGACAGACAACAGGTGCAAATGATCAAAGTCAATCAACAAGGTCACATTGAGTGAGTGTGTGTAACACCGCTTTGAACAGTATTTCAGTTATACCACGAGGTGTCAACACAATGATTGACGAGAGCCCTTTGTGATGCATGTTTCAGACGTTTACCATTTTGGTGAAACCCAGAAGCCGGGGTATGGTGTAGGCGAACTGGAATTCGAATCCAGCTTTCTGGCAAGTGAAAGGTATGCAAGCCGAGTCGCAAGCAAGCCTAGGACAACTGGGCCACCCGTACCCCTCACATGTTATACTTTGCCCCAATTTAGAACAAACCTTGGGTACTGCTGACGTACCCTGCTCTGCAATATTTGAAAATGTATTGATACTAATAGAATGTTTTATCAATATACTCTCAGTATGTGATTCAAATGGACATTGAGCTATATTGATATCTGGCCCCTCTCCATAAGTATCTGTTCTTTTACTTTGTGGGCTGATTTATTGTGTTGTTAATAGTGAACAAAATAAGAGGTCCATCTAGTGGGTAATCCGCAGTAATGATATACATGTAGCTACTCCCTCGGGAGCATTGCAAAACACAACAATATCAAATATACATGATACATCGAATTAATGCTTTGCGAGGACAGCTTTAGATCATGTATAAATTTTCAAATGCGTTGTATGCAGAGAATATTCTACCGGGATGATTGTGGATCACGATTTGGTGGAAAATGAAAATTTTAAAGTATTTCCTCAAACTAAAATTGTAGGAAGTGCCTGACGGTTTTTTTTGTAGTTATCGCTTCAAAGCTAAACATCTTCACAAAGAAAGTCATTAGGAGATGCATTAAGCTATATAGTTTAGGTCGTTTCTAAGCTAAACATCTTCATAAAGAAAGTCATTAGGAGATGCATTAAGCTATATAGTTTAGGTTGTCTTCGCGGCCTAACAGATGCAAATGACATCTAAACATTTATGCGTGTTATATAACACCTAAAACGCCAAACCTCGACGATGGGCAATTAGTTATGATGTCATATGTTACTCCTTACTCCACACCACGTTATAACCTTCTCTGCTGAGACCTACACTACCTACCTACTCATTAACTCAAGATTCACATCTCACTGTTTTATTTTATCTCACTATTCATTTGATACATTTGTCAAATTCAACAGAAACCTGGTCCCGTGTTGCAACGAGTGACCCACGCGTGCTCAACGGGTTGCACACGCGCTGTACACCCGTTGCACACGAGTGTTCAACGGGTGCTCAACCCGTGTGCAACCCGCTGAGCACCCGTGTCACATGCGGGTTACACGCGTACTCAACGCGTGTTAGGGGAATGAACTTCTGGGCAGGAGTGTATCACTATTATTATGTATTTACTTGGTGTCATTTTGACTGGTTACTTTTTCATTCTTGTTTTGAGGCAATTATATTGTGAGTTACCAAGAAGTCCGTTTGCTTAAAATTCAGCAACAGTTACAATTGTTTCAATGCACCTATTCCGGGTTGTGGTTAGGTGAGGTGAAATGATGTTTAACGTCGCGTTCAAGATTATTGCACTTAAATGCGGACGTGTATGCACGTTGTGCGTGCGCGCCTGCCTGCCTGTCTGTGACTGCTTGTACTAGTCCGGTTTTATAATGCTAGCCCACTGAGATACACAGACACCGTATACTGACCCCAGCCAATTAGTCCTTGTTTTATCCCATTCGTCAAAGCATCGGGCAGGGAAACAACAAGTACTACAAATCAACGCCATTTGGTATGACACGGCCTGGGGTCAAACCACCGACGGGCAGACGCTCTATCCACTGGACCACTCTGTTTATCTTAGGATAAAGTGAGATAATGGTAGCCATTTGCAAATCCAACATCACGTATCATCTTAAAGAGTTTTTCCCGAAATCTAGGATGGTTTTCTGTCATCAGGGTTGACAACAATGTAGCGATTTCTAGCTGCAACAAGCGCATTTGACAAATCCCCATGACCCATAGAACGCACATAGGCATCAATGGACATGCCTTTCTTGTCTAGGTCTTTCTTTCCAGCAAACACAACAATCAAGAACTGGAACAGGTTGTCCTTGAAAATGTGCTTGTAGTCCTTCAGGATACTCACATCTTCATCGGGGTTTCTTATGGTAAGAAGCAGAACGTGTGGCCCAGGGTCCACAAGCTGACGAATACTTTCGTTCTCCGCAGCTATATCCCTTCCATAAATGCTGTCAAATCCAAGGGTTTTGCTAAGCAAGAAGGAACGGCCTTTGAAGTCCTTTTTCCAGAGCCCAATCCCTGGTTCATTGGCGAGGCGACCAGATAGGAAGACCTCCTGTGTCATCAGTGCATTCAAAGTCTTTGTTCGACCAGATTTCTTCTTTCCGATGGCAAGAACTCTCAATTCTGTGTCAATACTTTCCGAACTGGTACGCCCTGGAACATACATATACATATATAATTATGTAAGCTATGAATAACTTAGTTTAAATACATCTTTCTTCGGCATTCAGAAGCTCGAATACATTGCAAAAGCAATTTTAAAAAATATCTTTCTGCATAACATTTTACCCTTTACACAAAAGAGAAAATACACGTACCTAAATGGGGATATAAATATCCGATATTCAGCAAAACACTACAAAGGAAATAACATGTCACAATTTTTCAGACTTTCTTTTTCCTCAATAAACAACTGTATTATGATTTGTATACCCACCCCTGTTAGACAGTTGGTCGTCATCTAAGATGTGCGGGATATTGATGCGACCAATTTCAAAGTTATCAAAGTCTTGAATCCGCTCTGTGTATGGTACAAAGGAGCATCCTTCTTCTTTATAGACAGCTCTCACTTCTGGAGATATTTCGTCCAACGCTTGGAGGCCCCTCTCAATGCTTTGGTAAAGCTCCAGTTTCTTTGTGTCCCCAATCTGTCTCTTTTCATTGAAGTAACGCTCAACTGTGTCCATTATTTCTAACACACCCGAACGTTTCCTTATTTCAACGTCAAACCATTCTAACAGCTGCTTATTTCCAGTAACTATTCGTCCCAGCAGTTGCTTCTCGTGCAGCTTTACCTTTGATATGATGCTGGAGACTGAACCTCCAATGTCATCTTGGGACTGCTTCTGACGTTGAAACACCGACCCCTTTCTTCCGTTCAAAACATCAATGTCACTGCGGATTTGTGTTCTCTTCTCCAGGGCGCGTGTTCCATGTTCTTTGACAGCTCTCCCCTTCAACTCCACTACCTCGCGGAGCTTGATATACCCATGACCATGGTGTTCCTCACATTTCAGGCAACAAGGTATTTCACACTTTTTGCAATACATATCCAAGGCTAATCCATGATCTGGCTCAGGGCATAGTATAATCTCATCAAAGTTTGACCTTTCCTCTTCTGTGAGGGACGACAGCGCACGCACGTTGTGATTTTTAAAACTCCTATTTTTCTTGTGTGCCTTCTGACAATCTTCGCACAAGTACACAAGACAGTTTTCACATCTTGAAATGGCTGGATCCCCGCAAGATGAACATGCATCTTTCAGTGCAGAGCTGACAACTTGCTTTAAGTGAGTGACGTCATCTTCATAGACTGGCAGGTTGTCAATAGATCCGTCCACATCAATGGTCTTCCTGCATACTGGACAGTCGAGACGCTTCTTTGTTTGAAACATCTGTTTTAAACAGGCTGTGCAAGCGATGTGTTTCTTGGAACTTGTATCATGAATGATGCGAGGAACTCTCTCTGACGTGTCAAAGCGTTCAAAGCAAATGCTACAGTCCCTTATACTGTCTAATCTGTCAGTGCTCTGTGCCATCTTTTCTGACCTGCAATATTTAAAGGTGAAGTGAGGTGAAATGTGGTTTCACGTCGCGTTGAAGATCATTGCACTTGTATAGCGACGTTCGGTAGATTTGGTAGATTTATGATGTATTAATTACATATGGCTAAAAAGGTTAACAAAATCATTCTCTTAACTAACTGTGAGAACCAGTTACACTGACATGCATATGTGGTAAGAATGAATCTTGATTTTCACTGCAATCTTGGCTCATCAACGAAATTACCAATCGGTCCATTTGTGCAAACAACATAAATCACATACACTTAAAAACACGTAAAAACAACATACATATACTTGTGAAGACAACATATATATACTTGTGAAAACAACATATATGCACTCGTGAAAAAGCATACGAGAGCTGGTAAAAGGATACATATACGTTTTTTGTTTGTTGTTTAACGCCGCAATATTCCAGCTATATGACGGCGGTCAGGAAATAATCGAGTCTGGACCAGACAATCCAGTGCTTAATATCATGAGCATCGATCCACGCAATTGGGATATGATGACATGCATCAACCAAGTCAGCGAATCTGACCACCCGATCCCGTAAGTCGCCTCTTACGACAAGCACAGTCACCTTTTACGGCAATCATTGGTTGCTGAAGACCTATTCTACCCCGGATCTTCACATATGAAAGCAACATACATGTCCGCGTGAAAATCACACACACGTACATGTATCTGAGCTTGTGACAACCACATACTCTCGAGTGTTAAAACATAAATGTGCTTTGGAAAACAACACATATGTAGTTCTGAAAACAACAGACATCTACGTATGGAAACAATAGACATGAGCCTGTGAAAGCAACATGTGTGTTCGTGTCAAAAAAAACAAATGTTATTCTGCGAACAGCATACATGCACTTGTAAAGGACGATCACAGTGGCTCAGGCTAAATGTTGTACACAATTTACATCTTTAAATGCCTATACGTGTATGTCCACCTACTGACACAAAAAAACAACCATCTCACCTGTTACACGGAAACAACGACGGGAAAAGACGTGGGCTGCTTCCCACCAAACACTACCTGTTTGTATAGCGGCATTGCGTTGAGAAAAAAATAACTTTCTCGATAAAGCTGAGTTCAAAGGTTGGTCACATGTGCCCTGAGTACACTATGAATCATATCGATAGTGGTGAAGTTCAGTCAGCTCCCCATCCTCACTGGTGCATACGCCCTTCGAGCTTTTGGAATATTCTTGAAATATTTGCAAAGTGCACTAGCAATCATTATTGAAATTACATTGTAGGTAATTCTACAAGCTGTCACGAAATGGTTCCTGGATCAGATAGACCTCAACCCCAAAGCTGTCAAGCGGCTACAATGACAAACGTGTGGCGAGGTTGATAGCGTGTCATCGTGTCCTGACGAGTGACGAGTACAACTAGTCTTACCGGCGAAAACCGACTTTGTGTCGATCGCTATGATTTCACTTACACGCAGCATTTAGGAGCGTGTTGGTCACTTACTGTGCATGACCTTCTTCTTGTTGATAGACAAACAGTTGCAGTTAACAACCGGTCACGCCAGGACATCAGTAGCTTGTACCAATAGTTACTCAAGTTACTGATTTTGATATATGATGAGTATATATTGATGAATATAGCTAATACAGTGTACGTTAACTGCTACACAGTTTGATCACTACTGTATTCATTGTCATGATAAGAAATATTAATTGATATTAATAAAGTATTTATTAACCCCGAAGTCCGCATTATTCCAGCTGTCTCACGGCGACAAGTAAATAATAGAGTCTGGACGAGATACACCAATGATTGATATTATGAACAACGTCCAAAGCCATCGGGGTACGATCACACGCAATTAACCATGGCCAAATCTGAACACCCGATCCATTCAATCCCCTCTTGTGACAAGCTCAGGTTACTGGGGACCATTTCTTTCTCGGAATAACAACTTGCGTAACACAAAAATCGCAAAGGACATTCCAACGCATTCAATCCACCAGATGCTTGTCAAGCAGTATATTTGATGGCTATATATTTGTTTTATCCAGTTTACATATGTATGGTTCACCAGAAAAGTAAATTTGCTCCGTATACATCATATACCACTCACAAAAATGAAAGAACACATAATTTTTTCATATGACTATAGTTAACCTGTCATATCAATGACATACATGTATTAACAAGAGCCATATGAAAAGTCGGATGTTTTAACTTCTTTTGAGCAGTTTTGAATATTTATCATATTTTGATTTAGTTTCGAATGTCAACACACATACCCGCCAAAAGAAGGAATTTAATACATTCAAGTGAGTGAGTATGGTTTTACGCCGCTTTTAGCAATATTCCAGCAATATCACAGCGGGACACCAGAAATGGGCTCCACACATTGTACCCATGTCGGGAATCGAACCGGGACTTCGGCGTGACGAGCGAACGCTTTAACCACTAGGCTACCCGACCGCCTCTAATACATTCAAGGTTAACTTAGTCATAATTAACGTGTACATGTTACACATTGCTAAATTACCTACTTCCTTCAGGTGATAAGTCATATCTCTCTGAAATACTTTGACAAGCGCTAGCCCGCCATCTGTACTTGTACTACGTGACTGGAGCGGTATGCAATTAGACGTGCCTTATTGCATACACACCTGAGTCAGGGTCATTCTGTTCTGATGTTACTGATATGCAGACTTTGAGTAATTGTATCCAAGCCATTCAAATCCCTCAACACAATTTGCATACATGAACATTCATTGTTGTAGCTTGTAGCCTCATGGTATGTTCGCGCAATGTCATTGAACTGGAAGCATATATTTTATGTATAAGCCGCTGTAAAGTGTGACAATGTTTTATGGTAGACATTTGGCAGACATTTCCAAATTTGACGCATCAGTGATAAACATATTTACCGATGCAATTCCCTATTTTGACTTGTACCCGTGTGTTTTTCAGGTGAACATATGACGTGCCTTTGCATGTGTTTGTGATCGGTGCCACCTGTGGAGTAGGATACGCCCAGCTTTTAGCGAACACCTGGTATCATTACTAATTGATAGACCCGTGAAGATTCCGGGGTAGAATAGGTCTTCAGCAACCCATGCTTGCCGTAAAAAGTGACTATGCTTGTCATAAAAGGCGACTAACGGGATCGGGTGGTCAGGCTCGCTGACTTGGTTGATGCATGTCATCGATCCCAATTGCGTGAATCGATGCTCATGATATTAATCACTGGATTGTCTGGTCCAGACTCGATTATTTCCTGACCGCCGTCATATAGCTGGAATATTGCTGAGTGCTGGCGTAAAACAACAAACCAACCAACCAACTAATTGATAGTGCTTATGCTCATGTTATGGTCGGAATCGTACAATCAATTCTGCTTTTAGCAGAAATTTCTTGTGAATATATGGAAAGGTTGAGTCGTTTTTACTTACTTTCTAATGAAGGCAGCTAGAAACATGGACGGTTTGTTTGAAGTTTTACTGCAAAAAACAACATCAGTGATCAGAGATGATAAATGAAAATATATTGTTGAATATGTATAATGTTTCTGTTTGATTTTTAGCATTTTGATTGTTTCATAAATGACTTCTTGTTTCTCGCAGCAAACTGAAGTTAACTAAAAATTGGAATTTGCACACGTACCGTACGAGTATATCTGACAATGACAAATGACAAATGGCAAATGACAAAACATTTACAAAATAGTCTATTAGTCAGTAGTTCCGTGCATGACTGGTATGACTATTGAGTCATATCTGTGTGTTTCAAAATCACAAACTAGTTGAACAACTAACTCAAATTTAAACGGAGGAATGAAGCATATCTGAAAGTGGCGTAAAACCACCTCGCCCCATCCACTCACTATTCATTCACTCACATACATGCTCATTCGGTTCACCTATGTTAGTCTCAGGTGATTGTTGGCTGCAGGAATTATGATTTGATTCCCCGTGAAGACCCGGGTTATAATTGACCTTTAGCAACCCATGTTTGTCGTAAGAAGCGACTAACGGGATCGGATGGTCAAGCTCGCTGGTTTGATTGATGCATGTCATCGTATCCCAAATGCGTAGATGGATACTTATGATGTCAATCACTGGATTGTCGGGTCCAGATTGGATTATGTACAGGTATTTGCAAATTGAAATTTCAGGTTTCTCACCCGGATAGGGATATTACAAGAATTGCTTTTAGTGAGTGAGTGAGTTAATGTTTATAGTCACATCGGCAATATTTCAGCCATATCGTGACTAAATCAAGTTGGACATGAATCATATATAAATAAAGACAGTTAAATCTGTCGACGAAGGACAGTAAAAACACTAGACTATCACAGATGTAGATTTAAAACTAGCAGATCATCATAAAATTGGAACAATTCAAAACAGTACACAATAAAAAAGGGCTATAGATCACCAATAACCAAAGGTAGGTCACCATACTAGGTACCATGGGGACTTATGATACTTCTGCTACCTACATGGTAACCCAGCAGGATTTACACCATCGCTCTGGCTACTGGTGATTGTCAGTGAGTTTTAGCCACGTCAGTAAAAAACAACAAGAATTCTACGATTAAAAGCATGGAAAATTAAAAAATACTTTGAATGAAATAGGACTGACATACCTTCTCAGGGGGACAATTATTTTACGTTACTTCAACCCCCTTTGAAGGTACAGCCACTAACAATCTCAGTTATTACTTCATTCTACCAAATTAAAAGCACATACTTATTACAATACATATCAAAATTTATCAATCAATTCTATGTCTTTTAAAAAACCAAGAATTAAATGAGAATTAATCTGATTAAAAAGGTCCTTGATGGATGAAACTTTGAAATACTTATCCCTTGTGATGGAAAAATCAATACAGTCAAGCAGGACATGCTTGACCGTGATTCTTTCATCACAAGGGATACAGAACGGAGGATCTTCACCTTTTAATAAATATTCATTTGTATATCTTGAATGGCCAATTCGACATCGTCGTAAAATGACCTCTTCAAATCTGGACTGACAACCCAAGTAGGTGTAACCGATATTTGGCTTAATTTGATGTAATTTATTGATACCTACTTTGGTGTCCCACTTCTTTGCATCAGATCACGGATGTAAGATCTAATTGCAGGTTTAAAATCAGTGTAGGGGATCAGAAGTGGTGTCACAGATTTGTTGAGTGCTGCCTTTGCAGCAGCATCAGCCATTGTGTTACCAATGATACCAACATGGCTTGGTAACCAACAAAAGACGATGTCGTATTGGCCAGTAGCAAGATCATTAAATAATTCGAGAATTTCGATTAAAAGTGGATGTTTGGGTGACATATTTTTAATCGCCTGAAGGCATGAAAGAGAATCTGAAAACAATATGAATTGTTTATGTTTAGATTGATTACTGATATATTTAAGTGCTGTAAAAATGGCGTTTGCTTCTGCAGTGAATATGGAACTGTTAGCAGGTAAACGTGAAGATATAGTTCTGGATCCAATGACGGTGGCACTAGCAACTGAGCCACAAATCTTGAATCCATCTGTAAAGACAGATTTATAAGTGTCATAATTGTTTCTTAATTGACTGTATTCTTGTTGGTAAATTAATTCGTTAGTGTCTGATTTCTTTAGTTTTGTTAATGTAAGGTCTACCTCTGGCTTTACCATTTGCCAAGGAGGAGATGAGAAAAGTTTAGTAGGAGCTATATCTTGGAGTTGAATACTAGAAGCTGATATTGCAGATTTCATTCTGATTCCGAGTGGTGGAGTGAGTGTTGATTTCTTATTGTAAAGATCTTCGTAGAGAGGATTAAATATGCATTCAAAAGCTGGATTGGACTGATTAGAATATAATTTAGTGATGTATTGTAAAGATAATTTTAAACGGCGTTGTTTAAGAGAAGGCTCATCTGCTTCTATATAGAGACTGTGAATGGGAGACGTTCTAAAGGCTCCAAGGCAAAGCCTCAGGCCTTGATGATGGATGGTATCGAGTTTTTGTAAATTACTTTTACAGGCTCCACCATAGATGATGGAGCCATATTCAAGTTTTGAACGGATCAGTGACCTGTATAAGTGTAAGAGGGTTGTTTGATCCCCTCCCCACTTTGAATTAGAAACAACTTTCAATAGATCGAATGCCTTCAGGCATTTAGCTTTAAGGTATTTAATATTTGGAAGGAAAGTTAAGTGGTTATCAAAAATAAGTCCCAAGAACTTGGCCTCCTTAACAACTTTGATAGGGGTGCCATTCAAAAATAGTTCAGGGTCCTTATGTGGCTTATATTTTCTGCAGAAATGTATGCAGTTAGTTTTTGATTTGGAAAATTTAAACCCGTTTTCTAGACACCACTTGTGAATTTTATTGAGACATAATTGTAATTGCCTTTCTATTGTG